CTGAGCAGGGGGGTATCCTCAGCCTGTCTCCTGCAACGAGTCAGGCTGGATAGCGCCGACCAGAGCCCTGACTGGTAACTCGGGTCTCTCCCCCTCTGTCCTTGCAGTTCCACGTAGTGATCGGCTCGGAGGCGGAAGGTCTGTACAACCTCAACTTTCACAACTGCCACAACAGAGCCCCGGCAAACCAGATGCCTTACGACATCACCGTGAGTGTGCATGCGGGAAACGGTCATCCCCCCGCCCCAGCAGAAACAGTAGAGTTCTAATCCTCTGGTACAGACTTCCCCTCTCTGCCTCCGGGCGGATTAGAAAGCCGAGTAAAGCACTGGTCTGGGACTCAGGAGACCTGGGTCCTATTCCCTGAGTGAGCCACTTTCCCCCCCCATCTGTGCCTCAGTTTCCCCATCTGTAAAATGGGGATAATGATACTGACCTACTGCAAAGTGCTTTGAGATCTGTGGATAGAAAGTGCTATATGAGCTAGATATTTGTATTGCTGTAGTGCGTAGGAGCCCCAGTCACGGCCCAGGACCCTCCTATGCTAGGCGCTGTACAGACACAGAACGCATAGCCAGTCCCTGCCCCAAAGACCTGGCAACCTAAGTAGAAGCCCAGGCTGCTCAGATATTCTACACTGAGTCCCACATGCTTGTCATGCTGCCATAGACTGGATGAATGGGTTACGAGGGGTCCTTGCCGGGCTGTGGTGTACAAGTGTCTGGGATTCGAACCCAATGTTCCAGTCCAGGGCTTTATCCACCAGGCACAGCTAGTCTAGAGCAAACTGCCAGAGACACCATTGTCTTCCTGGGGGTAGATCAGCCCTTCCCCGAGAAAGGTCAGAGATTCTTAGCAGAGGTGACACAGACGTGGGGGCGGGAGGGACACTGTCCCTGCGCACGCCATGCATTTCCAAAGCCACAGCACGCGGCGGAGTTTGTCATACATCCTTGGTCTGTATTTGTTGGTCCCAGTCCCATCAGCCTCCCTCTGCACCCCTGCTGTGGCAGATCAGACCAGCGAGCCCCTCTAGCCTGGTAGCCCCCCTGCACGTTAGATGAGCTCAATGGTCCATCCGGTGTTCCCCCACCACTCCAGACCAAAGCAAGGGGCCCCTCTAGCCTGGTGCTCCCCTGCCACCCTGGATCGGATCTCCTGGCGTCCCTGTGCGGTGGCATCTCCCCCAGCCGTAGCTCTCGCTCTGCACTGACTCTGGGGCTGCTTTGCAGGTGATGATCCGAGAGAAGAACCCGGATGGGTACCTGTCGGCTGCCGAGATCCCCCTCATCAAACTCTACCTGGTCATGTCCGCCTGCTTCCTGGCCGCGGCCACCGTCTGGGTCTACTTCCTCTGCCAGCACAAGTGAGTCCCGCCCCTCTGACTGGCTGTGTCCACACCGCTTTCCCCGGGGCAGGCAGCCTTCCTGTCTATTGTCCCCCACCCTGCCCCCTTCCCACCCCCAGAACCGCCATGGGCATCAGCCTGATTGTGTGTCTCTACCCGCAGGTTCAGCGTGTTCAAAATCCACTGGCTCATGGCTGCCTTAGCGTATACCAAGGCCCTTTCTCTCCTCTTTCACAGCGTAAGTAGCCAGCTATGCCGATGCAGGGGGGCCCAGTGACAAAGGGCTTGAGACCTGGGCACTAGCCATTGGCTTGCTGGCTGATCTCGGGCCAGCTGCTCCTCCCTGCCTCAGTTTCCCCCTCTGTGAAATGGGAATGATGCTGCCAAGGCTCCTTTGAAAAGTGCTTTGAGACCCATAGATGAAAAGTGCTCTGAGCGAGGTGTTTGTAGTATGATCGCTCTTAAGAGCCCCAGCCATGGACCAAAGCCCCATTGTGCTAGGTGCGGGACACACACCGAAAGCCGGTAGAGCCTGGTATTATTGGACAGCGGCCGTACCTGGGTTCACTGCAGTCGGGCTCCCGCTGACCCCCATGAGCCTCGTCCTCAACTTAGCCGGGGTGTCTCTAAGAGGTGAAATGGCTCAGGGTATTGGGTATGGCTGGGGAAGACACTAGCCTGTAAGGTGTTAACCTGAATCCAGCGCCCCTTGAAAAGCATCGGTGCAAACTGAACATGCTGGACTGACTGGTCCTGGGGTCCTCTCTGTTCTCGGCGCGCTGGCAGGGACAGTGTCCCTCCCCCTCCCCCCCCCCCCTGTCTGTGTCACCTCTGCTAAGAATCTCTGACCTTTCTCGGGGAAGGGCTGATCTACCCCCAGGAAGACAATGGTGTCTCTGGCATGCGGGGGTGAGACCCGTCAAACTCATCTCATGCACTGGCTGCCCGACAGCCATCTCGCGATGGCGGTTACCCTGCTGGGCAGGGCTGTTGGCACGGAGGTGAATGGCTCTGAGCCACCTCGGCTTTGCCACCAGCTCCCTAACGGGCAGATGGCCTTTGGGTGGCTATGGTGGGCGCCCTCCCAGCCTATCTAGCCTGAATCGGGAGGCTCCAACTGAGACCCTCTTCTCTGTCCTCTCTCTCTCAGATCAACTACTATTTCATTAACACCGAGGGTCACCCGATCGAGAGCTTAGCCGTCATGTACTTCGTGACCCACCTGTAAGTGCAGAGCGTCTGGTTACGGGGCCTACGCGGAGGGAACATATTCTGTGATATTCTATAGCCCGGCATCACGGCTGGGTCCAGGGTGGGGGCCCTGGAGGAGCCAACGGATAAGGTGGGAGCTTGCAAGTATTGTAGTCCCAGTTTCTCCCACCAGGGGGCACTGGCTGTGGGTGGTGCTTGCCACCACTGGGAGGGTTGCTGGGGAGGTTTCGCTACTACAGTCTTCCCAGCAGGAGGCGCCCTGGAGGGTGTCGTAGGACATTGATTGCATGGAGCTGTTAATTGCAGGGAATGGTGTAGGAGGGCTGGCTGTGGGCGGAGCTCTTAGCCGCTCCAATCCCAGCCTCTCCCAGTAGGGGGCGCTGTTTTGAGCAGGGCAGGACCACTGGCTGTGGCGGAAGCTCCTGGATACTGCAGTTCCAAGCTCTCCCAGCAGGGGGCACTGTGAGGAGCAGGGGCAGTTGCGCAGGGGAGGGAGAGTGTCCCGGTTTCTTCAGTCCCAGCATGTTGTGGGTCAGGAAACACACAGCCCTTCCGTGGCTCGCCCTGAGCCAGCCCTGCCTCCCAGAACAGGGCGCCCGCCTGAGTTGCCTCTGGGTGCCTTGCAGGCTGAAGGGCGCCTTGCTCTTCATCACCATTGCGCTGATCGGGACAGGCTGGGCCTTCATCAAGTACATCCTGTCGGACAAAGAGAAGAAGCTCTTCGTGATCGTCATCCCCCTGCAGGTGAGGAACGCGACGGCTGGGGGGAGCTGGCTACGAAGCAGCCGCTTCTGCGGGCAGCCGCCTCCTCGCCATTCTGCCTTCAAAGCCAGAGCCGTGCTGGGTGGAGACATTGGGCTGGAGTGGGGCTGCCGGAACTGGTTCTGTCCGGGCTCCTTTCAGACTCCCGGTGCTGAAAGCAAACGATTCGGGGAAGCGATTCCCTTGGGGAAGCACCGTTGGCTCATGGACAGACCCCTGGGCTGGACCTTGGGAGACGTGGGATCTGCTCCCCGCTCCGCACCTTGTCAGCTGGGTGACTTCAGCCAAGTTGCCTTCCCGCCCCCGCATCTGTGCCTCAGTTTACCCATGTGCGAGATGGGGGTGATGGTCCTGTCCTTCCTTGCGGAAGCGCTTGGAGATCTCCAGATGAAAAGTGCTAAATAAGAGCCAGGTGGTAGCGCCCTGCTCTCCTCTGGCCTCCGGGCAACGGCCTGCATCAAGCAACGCGCGTCTTGGCAAGCGGGGGGAAGATACAGGGCACACGCTGGGGGGGCAGGTGTTTGGGCAGCGACGGTTAGTGCCCGCCTGCAGGATGCGAAGTCCCTTCACCACCCGGCTTTCCCATTGCGCAGGTGCTGGCAAATGTCGCTTACATTATCATCGAGTCCTCGGAGGAGGGCAGCAGTGACTACGCCTCCTGGAAGCAGATCCTCTTCCTCGTGGACCTGCTCTGCTGCGGGGCCATCCTCTTCCCCGTGGTGTGGTAAGAGCCGGGCCCACCTTGGCGGCGGTACCGCCTTGGGTTGGGAACCCGCCAGGTCTCACAAGCTAAGCTGGGTCAGTGCTTGGATGGGAGATGGAGGAAAACTGCAGGGTTGGGGCATCAGTAGGGGGCGCTCTCCCAAGTCAGCGGTGACCCCGATGCTGCTGTACTGCAGGATGGGGGAGTTAGTAGGGGGGTGATCTCCCCTCAGAGTCAGCGCTGACCCCACGGTGCTATGGGGGACCGTCACGGATGCATGCGTGGAAGATGCTGGAGAAGCCCAGGGTGGTATAAATTATAAAGGGAAGTCCGTCTCTCTGGGGTCATAGGGGTGCCAGTCACATACGCCCCCATGGGAAGTGTCCGGTGCAGAGGGGTGTCCTGGCTGTACACACTAACCTGGGGGGCCGACACAGTGCTGGGGGTCGATGGGACCATTGAAGGCTTCATGGGGTGAGGCGGGGGGTGCGAATTTTCCCACAATCCCATGGGAGTCATTGCTTTGGCTTGGCCATGTCCCCACGGCGGTGATCTTTGCATCCTGCCCCTGTGGGCCGTGGGCCCAGCGGGCTTGTCTGCTCCAGGCCGGTGGAGTTGCCCCTGGGAAAGGCGACTCCAGAGCCGAGGGCGGGAACTGCTGAGCGTCTGTTTGTCCGTCCGCAGGTCCATCCGCCACCTCCAGGAGGCCTCCAGCACAGACGGCAAAGGTGAGTCCGTCTCGGCTTGCTCCCGAGAAGCCCAGCTGCTGCCCCCAACCCCCTCGTTCTGAGGGGGCTCTGTCCCCCTCCGTCCCCCCTGATCTGGAACCTGCTCCCAGCGCCGTGTGACAAACTCCCCTTGTTTTATTTCCAGCTGCCACAAACCTGGCGAAACTGAAGCTTTTCAGACATTACTACGTCATGGTAGGTGTCCCCCGCCCTGGCTCCTCTCTCAGGGATGCTGGCAGCGCCAGCACTGTCTGCATGACGGGACTAGGACCCTGCCCGCGGCCTTAGTCGCTCTGTCTCTCTCTCTCTCTCTTCCAGGTCGTGTGTTACATTTACTTCTCCCGTGTCATTGCCATCCTGCTCAAATTCACCGTCCCCTTCCAGTGGCAGTGGCTCTACGAGGTGAGGATGAGGGGGATGGGGAGGGGAAGGGGGAGCAGGATTCCTGGGTTCTATTCCCAGCAGTGTCACTGATTCACTCTAAGATCCTTACTGGCAAGACGGGGGACATCTCCCTCCCTCCCTCCCAGCTGGGCTCTGGACGTGAGCGATGGTGAAGTGCTTTGAGATCCATCGGTGAGGCGCTGTATTGTAATGACGTGTATCATAGGCCAGGTTTTCTTGCCCCTGGACTGGAAGTGGTGACTGGGGATCTGCAATGCAGGTGCCTCTGACCGGTCCCCAGCCTTTGCTTACCCTGCCGCCCACCCAGCTGGGACTGTGAGCTGGTGCTAAGTAAACATCTGCTGGGCCAGTACTTGGCTAGGAGACCACCAAGGAGAAATGCTGTCAGCAGTGGCACTCTTCCCACTGGCCACTGCAGCAGGCTGGTGCTAGGGGGCGCTGTGCTGCGCTTGGTCAGATTTCATGTAAATCCAAGGGTCTGAGATAGCTGCGGCCATTTCAACAGCCTCCCTTTCCCAGGTCAGTTTCCTGCCCAAATTCCAGGGTGGGGCAATACACATTCAGGCCTCGTTTTTTCTTTCTTATCACTCATTGTGTGATTCTTCCCTTCCCGTCCTAAACTGTTGCTGTGCGCTGTTATGTCCCACCCCAGAGCCAGCTGCATTTCAGCAGCAGCTGCACTGATCTTGGACTCCAATCGCTAGGCCTAAGGACCCTTCTTTCCTTCCTTGCAGCTCCTGGTTGAAGTATCCACCTTGGTTTTCTTCATCCTAACGGGATACAAGTTCCGCCCGGCTTCGAACAACCCTTATCTACAGCTGCCCCAAGAGGACGAGGAGGAGGAGGAGGAACTGCAGATGAATCAGGTGTAAGCAGCTGGATCTCTGGGTGGGGCTGAGAAGAGGGAAATCCTGCTCATTCCCAATGCTACTTCAGCTGGTGTAGACCGTGAGCAGGGAGACTCACCCGCCTTGTGTCTCGAACGTCCTGGGACCAAGAGGGCTACAACCAGTTTGCATACGTAGAATAGCTATTTGGGCCCCAGTTATTCTGGGTCAGTTTCCCACCTGTGTGTGAACCTGATGAGTAGGCTTGGCAGAATTCGATGTTCATGGTTTTGATCGTTTTGCTGGATAATAGCAATGTTTATTTTAAAGTATTCCCCCCCCACATTTTTATCACTTTTAAATGTTCACAAGGAAAATAGAGGCGGGGCAGACAATAATTAGCTAATGACGTGGCCGTTGAAATTGACATTCAAGTTTTAAACCCCAATTGGCAACGTCCCGTGGCAAAATGTACCAGGTAAATAGCCTTCGATCAAACTCCGAGGTCTTCAGCTGCATTTTTCTTACTTTGCCTCTCAGTTATCGATGGAAATATTTTTGTGTGTGTGGATGTCGGGTGAAATCCACCTCCGACGTTTACGAGTAAAAATCGAATCCTTCCAAGCTCACCTGTGGAGGTCAGACTAGATCAGTGGTTTTCAAACGTTTTTTTCTGGTGACCCAGTTGAAGAAAATTGTTGATGCCCGCGACCCAACGGAGCTGGGGATGAGGGGTTTGGGATGTGGGATGGGGTCCAGAGCTGGGGCAGGGGGTTGGGGTGAGGGCTGTGGGGTGGGGCTGGGAATGAGGGGTTTTGGGTGCAGGGGGGGGCTCAGGGCTAGGGCAAGGGGTTGTGGTGCAGGAGGAGATCCGGGCTCTGGGCTGGGGGTGCAGGCTCTGGGGTGGGGCCAGGGATGAGGGAGTTGGGGTACAAGAAGGGGCTCTGGGTTTCGGGGGGGGCTCAGGGCTGGGACAGGGGATTGGGTCACGGGGTTGGGGCACAGGCTTTCCTCTGGTGGCTTCCGGTCAGTGGCACAGCTGGGGTGCAGGGGCAGACTTCTCGCCTGTCCTGACACCGTGGACCGCGCTGCGCCCAGAAGTGGCCAGCAGTAGGTCCGGCTCCTAGGTGGAGGCGCACAAGCAGCTCTCGCCCGCAGGCACCGCCCCCCCCCCACTCCCGAATCCCATTGGCCGGGAACCGGCCAATGGGATTGCAGAGCTTGTGCTTGGGGTGGGGACAGCGCATGGAGCCCCGTGGCTCCCTGCCTACGAGCCGGACCTGTTGCTGGCCACCTCTGGGGTGCAGCGCGGTGTCAAACAGGTAAGGACTACTAGTTTTTACTGGCCGGCCGCCAGGGTCCCTGGGAGCTGAGCAAGGCGACCCAGTGCCTTGCATTCCATGACCCGAACTTTGAAAACCACTTGACTAGATCATGAGGGTCCCTTCTGACCTTAAAGTCTGAGTCATCTAGCGCCTGCTCCACAGCGCCCTCTGTTCCTTGTCGGGGCAAGTTCCAGGTGTTAGGTGTAGCGGGTGTTATTGCTTTCCATAAGGGAGGGCGAATCTTAGCTACCTGCCATGATATCCCTGCAGTTCCAGGAGCTGCAAGACCCTTGCTAGGGCTGTAGAGGAAGCAGCCAGATCTGATCCATCCCGTCTGAGTCCGGGGTCACCTGTCTCGCTTTCTCTCTGCAGGATCACAGAAGCCGGCGTCCATGAGGGTCTCTCTAAGCTGAAGAAGAGCAGGGCTGCCCGCGAGGCGGTGTGAGGCCTATCCGCCCAGACTGTCGCTAGTGCCCGGACCGTGGGGAGGCCACCGGGTCCGAGCCTGCGGCCCAGCCGAAGATTCCCAAGCAGGATAGAGAAATCGGGGGTTTTGTGTTGAATTCCTGCCTCTCTGCTCCCCTGCCCCACCTTGTGGCAGTGCTAAGAACTGCATGGCCCTGTGCAATTCCAGCAGCTGTTCCCAGAACCAGGCCTGTTCTCCAGACTGCAGGAAGTTCAGACGAACTCCGGATGGCTGAGGGCTGCTGTCTCTTGTACGGGGCGGGGGGTGGGGACTTTAGCCAAGCTCTGCCCTTCTCCTTCAAGAGTGGTTTCCAGACCCACTTCCTGATCCATGCATCCCTGCTGCTAGTTTAGATGCATCCGCCACCTGTAGCCCCCACCCTCACCAGCTCTCCTACCGCCTTCTCCTTCACTCCATTGACTAGCTGGGGCCGACCAGCCTGCCTAGCAAAGGTGGAGCTGGCGTTAAGCACCAACATCTGGCTGGGGTCAGAGAGGTCCTGTACCACTGGGGTGAGTCGATAGATCATTCCCAGGCAGAGGAGAAATAAGTAGCAATCTTCAGCTGAGACTAAGAGCTCACCAGCCCCACTGTTGCTGGTGGTGTTGAGCAACAGGCCAGGATCTAGACAACATCTGAGCAGTGAAGCTTGGCTCACGTTCATCTGGATCTCGGTGGCACCCCGAAAGGTGTGGTACCCTTTACCTGTGGGCCATGGTTTTCACTCTAGCATTAGTGGGGCCTCCTTCCTGGGAGAAGCAGTTTTTCAGGGGCATGCTGCCCCGGGCTTCTTGCTAGACCCTGTCAGGTGGTAGGTTCAGGTGTGATGCTAGCACCAACTGGGACCTCAAGGCTTGCGTCTTGGTTGCCTCTCTGTGACTTGCCTCCCGCCTCTGTCTGCTCTGCCCATCTCCCCGGGAGCTGGCTTCGTTCCTGCAGGCTCGGCTCCTGCCCTTGGTTACCTGTGCAGCTCTGTGGGACCTGGGGTTTAGCCTTTAAAGGGAGTGAGCTGGGCTCTTGCCTGCGCCACGGGGACTGAAGGAGGAGAGAACCCGGCTTAATTTAGCTCCCTGTGAGCTGGGGCAACCAACCTGCTCCTCCAGTGGAACAAGCCTCTTTAAGCCTAGAGACAGGGTAGGTGGGACCCGCTGGTGCAGGAGGCCTGTATCCCTGCTGCGATCAGCTCAGCACCCCTGAAACAGCAGGTCCTTAGCTGCTGAGCACCAGTCTAAAGGCAGGAGCTAACAGTGTGAGGCCAGGAATGATTTTGGGACCAGGCCCCTGCTTGTGACACTAGCGGAGTTCAGGACGGGGTAGAATAGCCAGTGTCCTGATCTTAAATGCATTCATACAACCTGCTCAGTGGCTGCAATGTGGGGGAGGAGACCTCCCCACAAGGGAGATCCTACGGCCGGGATGGGGGAGGGTGACACCACCCTCTCTCTGGCTGCCTCTGTTGCTCTACTGAATAACTCTGCCCTTGGTTGTGATGCCCTTGTAAGTGGGGGCTCAGCCCCTCCCCCCCCCCCATGCACCTATTCATTTAAGTTCCTCATTATTACTGGGAATGGTGATTATCACACTCTTACGCCTGGGTGGATCCCCCATTGTCTCAGCAGGGTTGGGTCACCATGCCCATGTTGAAAGGAGTTCCTTGGCTTAATTGTAACTCTCTGCCCAGCCTGGCGCGGGAGGTCTCTGGCTTTGTCTTAAGGGGGGTGGGTGGGCTCTGTGTGTAGAGGGCAAAGCCCTGCATTCCATGCTGGTGTATAAATGGCCCTTTCCGTATCTCAGCTCTGGCTTATTCATTTGGGTAAAACAGCTGCGCTGAGGCTTTTCGAGCACAGAGCGTGTGATGGTGGGGGCCTGGCCTGGGTGGAGTGTCGTGACTTGAGCCTAAAGCAGCGTTTATCCTAAAGCACGTCGTATCCAGTTATGATCTGGGCTCTAGAGTGGAAGGACCTGATCCTGATCCATCAGCCCTGGTGCCTACAGGGGCACGAGGACGAAAGGCTCAGCCCCCCACCTCTCTCGCACAGGCATGGATCAGCGCTCACGTCCCAGTACCCGGCTCAGGCCGGGGCAGCTAATGAGCCAACCAGCAGACCTGGGTGTGTGGCATGTTGCGTATATGCTAGGAAGAAGATGGCACTGCTAACGCCGTCGGCTATTTAACGGACCTAGGTTGGCCTCAGGTGCTGCTTGTGTGGCTGCAGTAGGCCTCCCTGCCTGCAGTGGTGCTCCATCACAGGAAGGTGCCCGTGGGGTGCCATGGAAGCGATTGATTATACGTACGACTGTAACCCTGCAGGATCTACAATGTCACAACAGCGCAGTCCCTAGTGCCGGGTTATGGCCCTGAGGCCTCCAGTCCTGGAGCCGGGCTATCCCTCAGGCTCTCCCCACTCCCCTTGATCTAGGCCAGGGAGTTTCCAACAGGATCCCAGCGTGCAGCGTCAAGTTCACCAGCTAAGAGTGAGTTGCTGGCTTCCAGGCTCTCGCCCCAGGAAAGGAGGCAGGCTCGCTGGGTGGGTTGGAGGGTGGCTGTTGGGGGCAGGGATTGTGCTCTCGTCCTGGGGGTAGAACCCCAAGCACAAGAGGGCTTCTCCAGGCTACCATGATATTGCAGGGGTTCAGGCACGGCTGCCCTGATCCTGCCTCTGCCACAGCCTTTCTGCATGGCCATAGGCACCTCACTTAGCCGCTCCATGCCTCAGTTTCCTGTATATGAAAGGTGGAGAACAGCTATGGCCCCAAGGGGTTGGGAGAATAAATACACTTGCAGGTGTGAGGGGCTCAGCTACTACTGTAAGGGGGGCTGTCAGTACCATGGATGGGGGAGAGGGGATAACTTATGGGGCAGCTGTAGGTCAATGACTCCTGAAGGCAGATGTAGCCTCCCCCCCAGCTATCCTGGCTCTGCCCTTCCCTCCATGGGCTGAGATGTGAGATTTCCCACGACCCTGCCGGGCGCTGCTGTTGGAAAGTTCCCAGGACTTAAAAACTGACCCCAGTCACCGTGCTCGGGCACTTCTGTTTATTGAGAGAGGGACTCCTGCACCCCTACAGGTTGATCGGATGGGCTGCCCTGGCCCTGAACAGCTGCTGGGGGAGTGAGTCATTGCATACACTACAACACAGGCACATGGTCCCAGTGCTACTGCAGGTGCTGGGCAGGGGGCCAGCTGCCCCCCAAGGGGGAGATTGAGGAGAGGGGGAGATCAGGAACCTGGCCTTAAGAGGGTGCAGCACCCTGAGGAAAATGCTGCAGACTAAATGCTCACCCCCTCTTGGGAGCTGTTGCGGACCCCTAGGACGTGCCTAAGAGGTGCCAGCTAAACTGCTTCATTGCCCCCAGCCCCGCCACTAAACCCACTTGAACCTGGGGCCATGGGCTGCATCAAACCCTAGTTGAGCGTCTTCCAAGTCTGGTTGCATTAGTAGCCGGCTGGCAAACACGCTGCTCCTAACTCCAGCAAGTACGGTAGTCATCCCGTCCCTGAACCAGCCACCCCACCATCTTCCTACAGGCCTCCCCAGTAGCGTCAGGGGAACAGTCTGATGCCCCGTTGCTCCCTTTGCCAGGGCCACAAGCCCTGGCACACACCTGCTGGGCTGCCGCCTCATGCAGGATGTCTATTACACCCCCTGGTGGAAGTACAGCTGGGCCCACTCCCCTAAGTGGGTCTTGGGTGGGGAGACAACTCAATACATCCAGGGATCTAGCCCCAGCTGTGGGAGGAGAGTGGTGCTTAGTGGTTAGAGCATTGGGCCAGGCATCCAGACTCCTGGGTTCAATCCCCAGCTCTGGGAGGAGACGGGGCTCTGGGGACTCCTGGGTTCAATCCCCAGCCCTGGGAGAGGTCAGGACTCCGGGTCCTATCCCCAGCCCCGGGAGGGGAGTGAGAGTCAGGACTCCTAGAGCCTATTCTACAGCAGGGCCTCAATCCTCTACTTTTTGAAAGTTTTTTTTTTTAATCCTTTTAAAACCCCAAATGTACTTAAAAAAAAATATGATACAAAAGAATCAGTTGGTTAAAAAGGGGGCCAAGGGGGGGGGGGTGTTGCTAATCCCCTCGTAGATCCATGCTCCTAAACACACTGCCTCCTCCCCGCTCCCCACATCACCCACTGCGCTGGCACCTCCCCTCGGTCCAAGGTTTTGTGCTTTTACAGTGGCTGTCCACACTGGAAGCTAGGGTCGTGCTACAGAGCATGGGAGTGGGGCGGGGAGGGGGGGGATCTATAGCTAGAGCTGCCTGTGTTGTCCAGGGAGGAGGAGGAGGAGGAGGAAGGGGATTGGTGCCTTCGTCTCAAGGAGACTTGTTATAGGACACGTCCCTCCTCTTCCTCCACTGCAGCATCTTGAGGAGGCTGAGGCTGGCTTTGAAGAGCCGGTCGTGCTGGAAGATCATCTGGTGGAAGGCGTTCAGAGGCAGGTTCCCGGTGGGGTCGGCGTGTTTCAGGGTGGTCATGGGCGTGTAGAGGCTGTTGGTCTGGTAGCGAAAAGGCGGCTTCTCTGCCATTATCACCTTGGCCGTGTGCTGGGGAGAGCGGAGGAAGGGCCTGCCTGTTAGACACTCGACCAACGCCCTAGGCTTAACCCGTACCGGGGCAGATCCCCAGTTGATATGAAATCAGGCACAGCTCCATTGGGGTCAATGAGCCCCATCCCCAGGTGGTATTTGTACAGCACCTAACACAATGGGGTCCTGGGCCATGACGGGAACTCCTA